GTAGTAGTAGTAATTGTTGTTGTTGTTCCTCCTCCTCCTTCTATCCATATTCTTCCCTCCCTCCTCCTCCTACCCTCGTTCCTACCCCTTCCTCCTCCCATCCCTTCACCCCCTCCTATCCCTTCACCTCCTCCCATCCCCTCCTCTAGGATCTTCCCTTTGTGACAAATTCATCTCACATGTGGAAGGATAATACAAGACTTGAAGACCTGAAGACCTGAAGACCTGGCCCAAGGCGGTGTTAGATTGAGGCTCCTGGGGGATGGGGGGTGTGGTGGAGGGGAGGTGGGGAAGAGGGGGGAGGATGAGGTGAGAGAGGGAATAGCGAGGGTGTTGGAGGGAGAATGAGGTGAGGTTAAGTTAAGTAGAGAGAAGAGAGAGAGAGAGAGAGAGAGAGAGAGAGAGAGAGAACAACTGCGCCACTCAGAAAATGGTAAATATCTGTCTTGTGTGGGCGGTTCAAAGGCATGAGCTGTGTATTACTGTAGACTTGTTACCTCCTACTCACGCCCACTCACGCCCACGACGAGGTATATAGGTGGAGGCTCAGTGTATTTTAGAGAGGCCATTTTGAAGGTAGTTATATAGGTTTGGGTTTAAATCAGCCGAAGTTAGGTTAGGTTACGGGGGAGGAAGTGGGCGAGGAGGGGAAGTAGGAAGTGGGCGGGTAGAGGAAGAGGGCGTGGGGATAGAGAAGGGCGGGGCAGAAGGTGGAGGGGGTGGGCGGGCAGGGGGCTATGTAAGAGAGTTTTCCACATGCAAGAACTCAACACGTAAACACTGTGCATTGGCTGCCAGACGCACGATAACAATACACAAATGACTCCGACTGCACCAAACACCTAACCTTACCTAACCTAACCTAACCTAACCTAACCTCACCTAACCTAACCCAACCTTTAAAAATATTTCAACCCCTTGAAAAAAATACCATTGTTATTTTGTCTGTTATTTCACGAATTTATTTTTTATTATTTTTTTTTGGGCGAATAACACCAGTCAGTTATTTAAGTGTCATGCGGCTCGACCAGTCACCTCCTGTCAGCTGTGTTTACGTTTTGTGAATATTTACCTTTCACCTGTCGTTTAACTTAGAGAAATACCTGTATATATAAGTTTGTATCACCCGAAGAGTCACCCCCTAGACCCGAGTTTATTTCACCTAATGATTAACTTAACCTAACCTAATGCTAACCTAATCTAACCTAACACTAACCAAACACTAACCAACCTAACCAAACACAATCAACATCTATACAAACAACCAAAAAATCCCCAACGTACCATAAACAACTTCCATGAACAAAGGCAAAAAAACAAAACAAAAAGAAGTTTAATGTTACAAAAAAATGGAACAAACTAGATGGTTCAGAAGAGCGATTATCTCCTCCGAAACTGGAACAAATGAGCCAGCCAGCCCGCCCTAAAACTAGGTCAGGTCGGGTCGGCAAACTAGGTCAAGCTCAGTAGCGGCTTGGGACAAATTGGGACATGTCCTTAGGTATTTGGGACGGGGAGGGGGGGGAGGAGGTGGTAGGGGAAGGAAAGGGAAGTGGGTAATATTGGATGGGAAGAGGAGGAGGAGGAGGGATTAATGGATGGGTAGGGGGATTAGGAGGATGAGGGGAAGTTGGGGTAGGAGAGGGAGGGAGA